TCCAAGATGTTGTTTTCCACAGTAATCACATGTCTTCAAAGGTTGTAACCCAAATGATCCACCATATCTAGAAGAATGTACAACTGAAGAATCGGATGTAACAGGCCTGACACTCGCACCGCCTCTCTGAAATGACTCACCCTTGCCTCTCTTGCTAGGGTGTGTAGAAGAATCAACAAAACCATAATGCCTCTTGAATCGGGTGTGAGCTCGATCACTATCTCTCTTGTGCTCCATACCCAGTCGCTCTATTTCCTCAACAGTCTTGGCTATCTTAACCAAAGCATCAAAATTCCTCTCTCGGTGGGTAGCAACTCGACTCCTAATCTCATACCTGAGTCCATTCTCGAACCTCAAGCATCGATCTGTCTCCGTGTCAACAAGTCCAGGAGCATAACGGCTCAATCAGATGAACTCAACCTCGTAGTCCATAACAGACATGCTACCCTGCTCTAGATTCTGAAACTCCTGATGACGCTCCTGCAGGTATCTCTCTCCGATGTAGCGACTCTGGAAGCGTGACTTGAAAAGATCCCATGTTAAATGGTTTCTCGGAGTACTACCAGAAATTGATTGCCATCGGCAATGAATTTAAGATTTCCTCGGCAATGGAGCTAAAAAAAGGTCGAGACTTTGACTTGGAATTCCCGACGTTTGGCAGCGTTTCACTTCAATTAATTTAAGGGAATTGTTCCTCACTCGATAACGAACACGATGGTGGTTTCAAATCGACGATCAGAATTCGGACGGCGTCGGGATCGTTGTCGGAAGTTGAGGTTGGGAGAGAGGATTTTGGCTCAATTTAGGAGCTATTAGTTTCTGATTTTTCAGAAACCAATTGCCGTATATAATACCAAACTTCACCAACCTTTCTTGGGTAAATTCAGGGCTTTGTCCTTGAATTTTCTTTAACTCTAAAACAAGCTACAAATTTTTAAAATCTTTTAATTTAGTCCCCAAATTTCTCCAAATTTCTTAATTAAAACCTCAAATTACAATTATATATATATATATTTTCAAATTTTCAGGTTGTTACATCTGAAGTATCTACTTACTTAGAAAGAATTGAATTTGAGACAGCGTCGCTGGTTGGAGGTTCTAAAGGACTATGATATAGAGATAGAATATCATCCAGGGAAGACTAATGTGGTGGCAGACGCCTTAAGCCATAAGGCGATATTAGATCTCAGAGCCTTATTCGCCAATTTGAGTTTATTTAATGATAACAGTCTATTAGCAGAGTTGCAGGTTAAACCCACTTTGACCGAGGAAATTAAGGCCAAACAACTTCTAGGCAGCTCATTGCTCCCCATTATTAAACAAGTTAAGCATGGATTGAGTTCAGAGTATACTGTGGATCAGGATGGTATTTTGTGTTTTCACGATCGTTACTGTGTCCCTAAAGATGATGAGTTGAGACGGGTTATTCTTCAGGAGGCTCATAGTAGTCCTTATGCTATGCATCCTGGCGGGGACAAAATGTACAATAATCTCAAAGAGCGCTACTTCTGGACTGGTATGAAAAAGAATATTTTAGATTTTGTGGCGAGGTGTTTGACTTGTCAGCAGGTTAAAGCAGAACACCAGCATCCATCTAGATTGTTACAGTCAATTAAGATTCCTGAGTGGAAATGAGAGCGCATTACGATGGACTTCGTTACTTGTCTTCCTTTGACTCCTTCCAAAAAGGATTCTATCTGGGTGATTGTTGATCGACTCGCCAAGTCTGAGCGAGTTATTCAGGTGTTGGAGGATATGTTACGGGGTTGTGTGATTGATTTCCGTGGCAGTTGGGAAGATTTCTTGCCATTAGCTGAGTTTGCTTACAATAATAGTTATCAAGTGAGTATTCGCATGGCGCCGTACGAGGCTCTATATAGACGTAGATGTTGTACTCCTATATATTGGACAGAGTTACATGATAGAAATATTTTGGGTCCAGACTTGGTTCGAGAGACTGAAGATACTGTCAGATTAATCCGTGATCGCATGAAAGAGGCATTTGATAGGCAGAAATCATATGCAGATAAACGACGTAAGGATATCGAGTTTGAGGTTGGAGATTAGGTTTTTCTCAAAGTATCTCCATGGAAGAAAGTATTGAGATTTGGACGTAAGGGTAAACTGAGTCCGCGAATTATTGGGCCGTATCGTATTTTGAAGAAAGTTGGACCTGTTGCTTATCAGCTTGAGTTGCCTCCCCAGCTTAGTCGTATTCATGATGTGTTTCATGTGTCTTTGTTGAGGCGATACCGTCCAGATCCAGATCACATCATTCAAGTTGATGAGGTAGAGCTAAGACCTGATTTGTCATATGAGGAGGAGCCTATTCATGTTTTAGAGTGGGATGAACGAGTTCTTCGGAATAGGCGTATTCCAATGGTCAAAGTTCAATGGAGTAATTGTAGCCCCTCATAAGCTACTTGGGAGACATTGGAATCAATGGAGGTTCAATTTTCGCATCTATTTTCATAAGGTAAATTTCGAGGATGAAATTTCTTATAGAGGGGAAGAATTGTAACAACCCGAAAATTTGAAAATAATATTTAATTGAAATTTAAGTTTTTAATTGTGAAAATTGATAAATTCTGGAGACTAAATTGAAAGATTTTAAAACTTGTAGCTTGTTTTTGAGTTAATGAAAATTCAGTGACCAAGCCCTGAATTTACCCAAGAAAAGTTGGTGAGGTTTGGTATTATATACGGCAATTGGTTTCTGAAAAATCAGAAACCAATTGCTCCTAAATTCCCCTCCCCCAACGTCAACTTCCGACAACGATCCCGACGTCGTTCGAATTCCGATCGACGTTTTGAAACCACCATCGTGTTTGTTATCGAGTCAGGAACAATTCCCTCAAATTAATTGAGGTGAAACGCTGCCAAACGCCGGGAATTTTCAGTCAAAGTCTCGACGTTTTTTAGCACAATCGCCGAGAAAATCTTAAATTCATCGCCGATCGTTGCTCCGTTTACGACACCTCCCGCACCATCGTGTTCCTTATGCCGTTCCGAGTTCGTCGGTGTCATCCTTGGTCTCCGTAGACGGCGGCGCGTGGGGAGGTGAAGCGGTCAAATCTTTCGATTTGTTGAAATCGAGTTCTCCGCCGTTCAAAAATTTGAACCGAGCTTTGTAAGTATCTCGAAATCGCTCAAAATAATTTTTAGGAATTTTTCGTGAATTTTACGCTACTGGAAGAGCCTTCACGAGCCCCCACAATCCGCCATTGCGCGTGGGGAAGATTAAACTGACCGATTTTTCAAAGGGTTTGACCGGTTTTGACCCGACCCGTTGACCCGACCCGTTGACCTGGTGACATTTTAGTAATTATTTTGAAAATGGTGCTATATTGGTAATTAATTTTAAAATGGTGCTATTTTTGTAATTTTGTAAAAATATTAATTTTGTACCGTTAATCTTTTCTGAGAATACATATCCTAAAATTAATTTCGGAAAGTCATACTTTATGTTTTTCGACGTCCTGAATTTGATTCCGAAGTTCGTTTTGCTAAATTCTGACTCGAAATCTTCGAATTGAGCATGTGAGCCCAAATAGGCTTAGTATTTTGATTATTTATTTAAGATATGGTTAATGAATTGATTAAGTAAGATATTTTATGAAGGTACTCGTGTTTCACCTGAGCGAGGATCAGTCAGGTCCGGTGTTGTCCGTTCATCAGATTAGTCCGAACCGCGTAATACAAGAATTACTCATAGGTTTCCGTATATGATTTAAATAAAGATTAAGATTTTTTTTATATATATTAGGATTCTAATATGGATTTTTCCAATTCGTAGGATCTAGCGTTGCAGCAGAGCGTGATCGACAAACCCGATAGTAGGCTTCCCTATCTGATTCCCAGACTGTTACAGGTGTGTTTCCTGACAATGTTATCTTACTAGTTTAAACTATCATATGAATAGTTATCTGATATGATATTTGACCTGAATTTTTATATGATACTTGACATGGATTCTGATCTGTTACCTGACCTGAATTTTTATATGATACTTGATATGGATTTTGATCTGTTACCTGACCTGATTTATGTTTTAATTTTTTTTAATATATATATCCGTTATGAGCGGAACATGATTTATTTGGGGGTAATGATGGAGGAAGTATACCTGGAGGCTCCTCTGTTGTGACCTCAGGGCCTTACTGGACTTGTTGGTGGGTGTATGGTTATGGGGAACACATTTTGGACTTGACGGATGGGGGTAGTGTTCATATTTTAAAACATGTTTGATAATCGGTTTTACTGGAATATTTTATTTGTATGTTTTTAATACACTGTTTGGAGCACACTGGGTTTTTTTAGTTCATTATGTAGTTTTTACCTTTTTCAGATAACAGCAGACCGTAAGCTAGCAGATTTGGCATCAGGAGAGATCAACTACTTATTTTGTACGAACATATATCTCTATATGTTTTTTTCGGTTATATTTGGTGACATGTATTTGCTATCGTTTTGGATATATCTGTATTATTAATATTTTGTTCTATATTATATTTAATATCCTATAAGTTGTTAAGTAAAAAAAACCTCTGAATGGGACATTTGACCACTTAGGTTTGGGTCTAACTTACAGACCGGATCTGGAGGGTTACAAGTATGACACCTCGGATTGGGTCAAACATATTAGTCTGAGAGTGTTATACAATCAAATATGTTTTCTACAACGTTCTCAGTTTTCTAAGAAAATAAAAATGAAAATAATCTATACTTTTAGAACCAAACAAATTATAAAATTTTTAATTAAAAATAAAATACAAATAATAACACGTAATTAATTTTATATTATTCAAGATAATAATAAAAGGTTTTAGATTAATCCAATCTAAAAGAAAAAATCGGATCAGGAGACCTGACCGCAACCCATGACGAGTCGTACATAGATGGAATAGGAAGTACTTTAAAGATTAAACTGGGACCAACGGTTGAGATTAATTTTATAGATTAGAAATAGCAGAGCTGAAGTGGCCTTACTAAGCTTTTTACCCATTAGGGTTGAGGAAGACGAAAGACCAAAGCGAAGAAAACCCCCATCTTTCTCTCTTTCACATACTTTGTAAGTTTTGGGTATTAGTTATTCATTATATTCTGTTGTTTTTGCCAATTTTTAAAACATTTTTCTGTTGTTTTGTCTGTGGCAGCTGCTAATTTCTCATCATGTCTTGGTGCACAATTGAATCCGATCCCGGTATTGCCTTTTCCGATTCGCTCTCTTTCGTTTGTTTTTGGTTGAAAATTTGATTGTTTATTTGTTTTGAATTACTCTTAATAATAAGGTAAACTGCTTTCTTGTTCGTTTAATTCTTCGATAGGTTTCGTATCTTGGTTTTCCTTTGTTATGCGTTCCATCAAGGTTTTCAATTTCATTTTTGGTAACATTTGATGAAGTTTTAAGAGGGGAGAATTTTAAGGGTTCAGCAGTGTACATATATTTGAACGGTGAAATTGTTGGTTTTAATTTTTTTTCTTTAATTTTTCGTGTATGATATCTTCATTGAGATAGAGATGTGTGGGGAAAATGAATAAGTTTTCGTTGTCTGAAAATTGTAGCAGAAGAAATTTATACTCCTATTCTCAGGAAAGTTGGGTACTTATCCTAGAGGAAAGCTGTCATCAAGTTTTTTTTTTGTCTCTGCTTATAATTTCATATTCTCGGAATGAGAAGGAAGGGTTTGCTGTAGTTTGGATATTTGTTTAAAAATCGTCAAAGCATAGAGATGCTATGTGTTTTTTTTTTGGGTAGACCTGGCAAATTTTACCCGAACCCGATTATCCGAACCGATTTAGCCGACCCAATACCCGATATTAACCCGAACATGATAATCAAATTTTATCCGATACCTGATCCAATCCAAAATTTAGCGAAACCGAAATCAACCAGAACCGAAATTAACCCGAACTAAAGCAACCCGAACCAAAATTAACCCGATCCAAAAGAAACCCAATCTGAATTTTAATCCGAACCGAATTGAACCTGACCCGAAATCAACCCGAACAGATTGAAATTGATAAAAGTTATTAAACAATAAAAGTTATTTTCAATAATAAATTAATTTAAATAAAATTGATATTTTATTAAAAATATTATATTTATAATAAAATAATAGAAAGTTTAAGAGGAATATAAAAGTAAGAATCTATTTGTAAGATTGAAAACAATAATAAATAAAGTTTACTTATCTTACTTGTTATAAAATTATTAGATTTATAATAAAAATAATAGAAAACAACTAAAACAAAGGAAATAATATTAGATTTATAATAAGAATAATATAAAGTTACTTATGTTACGACTAAAACTTAACAAATAAAGTTATGTATTATTTTTTAAAATTTAATTAAAATATTAAATTTATAATTGGAAATAAAAATTTTAATAAAGAATTTATTTTTTTATCAAATAGTTCTCATTATAAACTTTTCAGACAAGATCAATATAAAATTTTGATAACAAATTCTAACACGTATTATAGGATCATATTTGTGTCAAATTATCAATTTATTATCCCTAAATGATTGTTTAATTCAAAATATTGAATGATTGAGAATTAAAATTAAACCTAAATGATAAAATTAATAAATAAGAAAACATATTTTTACAAGTATATATCAATTATTCTATATATACTTGATTTTGATTAGACTCATAACCAATTTAACCTTAATTTTGATCAAAAGGTTGACCTAAATCGAAAATCAATCGATTCGATATTGATCTGACCCGAAATTTAACTGATCCGGTATTGACCCGACCTGATATTGACCCGATCCAAAAATTAGCCGATCTGATATTGATCTGAACCGGAAAACAACCGATCCAATAATCACCCTATTCGAAATTGACCTGACCCGATACCCGACCCGATCCGATTCACCGTACACCCGAATTAGATTCAAACCGGATTTGATCCGATCCGAACAAAATCGAATTTAATCTAGACCCGAAATTATCCGACCCTAAATGATCGACCCAAACCCGATCCGAATGACCCGTTTGCCACCTCTAGGCGGGAGTGCGTAGTGGTGGTAGTTTTAATTTATATGGTCAGTGATGGAAAATTAAAGGACATTAAGTTGAAAGAGAATGCAAGGAATATAATTTTGCATAGCATAGAAGAAATCATCTTAAAATGACCATTGGAGGGTGATTTGCGTGGATTTTTTTGTTAGGATTGTTTTATAGGATCGCATTAATGCCTCACCTAATGTCCCTTAAGAGGCATACTCCTTTACCCCCTCTTGTTTTGGTAGTTTTGTGGATAATACTTGGAGGTATTAAACCCAATGCATCATTCCTGCTGAGAACAAGCATAAGCTCCATTGATATATGGTTTTTTTTTCTCATGGTGTTAGATGATTGGATTGTCTCTTATAAAAAAAAATGATTGGATTGTCGTGTTCTATTCTTTAGATGCTTATGATCTTCAAAGTACAACATGGTACATGCATGCTATAACTAGAGGAATCTAAAATAGTAGTAATAATAATATTCAGGGACGGAGCCAGGATTGAACTATGATGGGAGCAAGTTGTTTAACTTTGAAACAAATAGGATTTTTAAAATTGAATAAAACATAAAATTTAAAGGAGTTATGGACTTATGGTTTAATTTCGCTAATTTAACAATTGAAGGGTCTTAAAAGAGTAGTTAAACCAGAAAAATTAGAGGTCAAGACATAATTTCATTTTAAAACTGAAAGGGTCATAAAAATAATTAAACTGGCAAATTTTGAGTCGGGCAAGGGCAAAATTAATTGCTCCTCTCACCTACAACGTAAGTTCGTCCCTGATAATATTGATGTTTAGTTCATGATAGTCATAGAGCAACTCCATGCTTTTTAAGGATGCTCCTCACTGGTTGCCAATGATTAGAGATTAAACTTAGGTTTTTCTAAGGGTTATCATCAATCCTTAACTTGAGGAAACTTTGTGCCCATTCAGTGCCCCATATACCCTTACCCTTTTTCAGCGGCCTAACTATGGCTAGTTCAGATTGAGTTGTTAGGGTATTTTTTTTAAAGAAAATCTTTCCTTTTTTGCTACTTGTATGACACTTACAACATTTAATTTTGCTGTACTATTGTTCTGGCATATGACTTATTATGAATACCTGATAGTTGAGATTGAACATGTTAACATCTTGCTGTATCAAATGATTAACCGTCTTAGAGTGCTCTTATTGCTTTCTTTAGATTGTCGTGCTTTCTTAATGATATGTATTGAGATTTAAGATTGACAACATTGTTTTCTGCTTTTCAGGTGTCTTTACTGAACTTATACAGCAGATGCAAGTTAAAGGCGTACAAGTAATACTTTTCTTATTTCATATTGAGATTTAAGATTTGTCTTGTAGAATTGCTTATAGTATCTTCTGATTGTTATTTTAAATGCGTATATACAGCTACTGTCGAAATTGTTAGTTAAATGCATATATGCTGATTCTTATAAAAAAATGCATATATGCTGATACTGTCAAAGTTCTTTTAACGAAAAATGAATATATCAGATTCTTTATGCATACACTTGTATCCTTAGAACTATGTCAATTACATACGGGTGAAGACCTAAGGGTTCCCGTTACATAGCCCCTTAAACCTCCTTTTGTGTCAAGTTGCTATTTGTTCGGTAGAAACTCAGTTAATTGCTGTTTGAAGAGACGAGATGTAGGAGGAATTAAAACTCAAATCAGTGAATCAGCTCTTGTAGAAAATAGAAATCAGTTTTAGCAATTCTGGAAATATAAATATGCTCTCATTATATTGTTAACTATTCTTGTCCAATGGCTTAGGATTCTTAAAATCTATAAACTTCGGAATGTATTAAGGTCAAATGAGCTCCATTTTAAACCTTCACAATTTAACTTAAGTCAAATCCAGACCCCGTTGAACATAGAGATTATCCCCATTCCAGCGAACAGAACCAAATTCTTTGATGATAAGCTGATAAATTGTACTTTAATGTCTTAGTATCCACCGAGGATGTATACCTTGGATCAAAAGAATTTCTTTGACAATACAGAAGCCATGATCCTAGCCTTTGATTTCCTAAAGGGATGCAGCAATGTAACATGACATTGATTAATCATTGGCACACATTAAAGCCACTATATGAACCTGTCTAATTAGACCCTACTTAACTGGATCAGTACTTGTTGTTGAATGATGTTGTAGCCAGTGCCATCCCCATCCACACTATACTATTTAGTTGTCCTTTGCCTTTATGTTAAACCCTGTGTACAGCTATCGAATTCTATCCTTGATGGAGTATCTTGGTGGGTGCATAGATGTGCATATTATTTATTATGGCTGAATTGTGTGCATGTATAATATACTAATAGAGTTTGTGTTCCATTGCATGCTTTATTCTGTCTTGATGAAATATAGCTTGATGAAATATGTCTTACCAGGTAGAGGAGTTGTATTCATTGGATCTCGATTCTCTGAACAATCTCAGGTCAGTTCTTGCTTGGTACTGGCTCATTCACATTCGACATTTGAATTTCTTCCTTTGTAACCACCTTTTCCATAATAGGCCTGTGTATGGGTTGATTTTCCTTTTCAAATGGCGCCCAGGGGAGAAGGATGAACGTCTTGTAATCAAGGACCCAAACCCTAATTTGTTTTTTGCTAGTCAGGTTGGTTTCAATCTGAATCACTAATATCAGGAGTCGGATATATTTGCAAAAGTCTTCTGAACTTTTTTTTTTTTTTTTTTTTACATTTTTGTAGGTCATCAATAATGCTTGTGCTACACAAGCTATACTGTCTATTCTCATGAACTGCTCTGATATCGACATTGGTCCAGAATTATCAAAGTTGAAAGAATTTACTAAAAACTTTCCTCCAGAGCTTAAGGGCCTAGCTATAAATAACAGTGAAGCCATACGAACAGCCCATAATAGTTTTGCAAGGCCCGAGCCTTTTGTTCCGGACGAGCAGAAGGCTTCTGGGAAAGACGATGACGTCTACCATTTCATAAGCTACATACCACTTGATGGAGTACTCTATGAACTCGATGGACTGAAGGAGGGACCCATTAGCCTTGGTCAGTGCCCTACTGGACCAGGTGACATGGAATGGTTGAAGTTGGTACAACCAGTTATCCAAGAACGAATAGAGAGATATTCCCAAAGTGAAATCAGATTCAACCTCATGGCAGTTATCAAGAACAGGAAGGAGTTGTACACTGCTGAACTTAAGGAGCTCCAAAAGAAGAGGGAACGCATCTTGCAGCAGCTGGCTACCATACAGTCCGAAAGACCTACAGACAAAGCCAGCTTCGAAGCACTAAACAAGCAACTTTCAGAAGTGAATTCAGGGATCGAGGGTGCCACTGAGAAAATCTTGATTGAGGAAGAGAAATTCAAGAAGTGGAGAACCGAAAATATTCGAAGGAAACACAACTACATACCGTTCTTGTTCAACTTCCTTAAAATTCTTGCGGAAAAGAAGCAACTGAAACCGCTTATCGAGAAAGCCAAGCAAAAGAAAAGCAGCAGCCCTAGGTGAACATGTTTCTTCTTGTTGCATTTTCCTTTTTATTTAATTTTCTTGGTTGAATAGATGCTTAGTCCAAACTAGAGGTTTAGTGCAAATCCAAAGAAAAGGAGTGAGCTGAAGGACCATTCTATGATAAATTCAACTGTGGTGTTCCCAAATGACTTTCTTGGTTTTTTCTTCCAGTCCCATATTTATTGATGATAATACTCTGCTCTTCTATGTTAGTCAGACTCGGGTTATGTTTAATTAAAATTTTTAAAGGCCACTGGAACTTCTTATGATAAAGCATACCCGCTTTCCTTCATTTCACACGATGGCAACTCGGATTTGGATATTCATCGGTCGAATATGTTCTCTTGTTGCTCGAATGAATTTGTTGATTCGGATGTTAAAATTTAGGGTAAACTATTTGAATGACCAAGGTTGGTGTTAAAATGACCATCATTTTCAAAATTTCATCAATATGACCACTTCACTAGTTAGCTGAGTTTAGTATAGTCACTTGTCATTAATACTTAACGTCATAAAATTGGTTTAATTATACAATTGATCTTTATTATTTATATATTCTATTAATTTACTTTTAATTTAGTGCTTACCTATTTTGCTTATGCTTGACATGTGTCACTATTAAATTATGACTCGGTAATCGGTTGAAAAGTGACACATGTTGAATAGTTAATTTTTTGAATTAAATTAAAATTAGGATTAAATTGATAGAATATGTAACCATTGAGAATATTGAACTCAATTAATTAGTTAAGTGGTTATATTGACGAAATTTTGAAAATAGTGATATTTCGACACTAATCTCATAGTTAGGTGGTCATTCAAGTAATTTACCCTAAAGTTTAATTTTATTAATTTCCATATGAATACTTCCATCAAATATTAACGGCGAGGACTATATTGAACTCAATTAACTTGTTAAGTGATTATATTAATGAAATTTTAAAAATGATGATCATTTCGACGTCAATCTCATAATTAGGTGGTCATTCAATAGTTTACCTTAAAATTGATATTACTTATAGATTTTAATAAACTTAAAATTGATATTAGTTATAGATTTTAAAATTTTCAGCCTCTTCCTACTAACTGTAATTCCATCCATGTGAAGAGGCATACCAATTAGAGGTGTTTGTGGTCAGTTACTCGTACCGTTTAGTTTAAATAATTTGGTTAACCGTTATAATGGTTATTGAATTTTATTAACCATAACCTAACCATTAAGAAACAATTAACCAATAATGATTAACTATTATTAACGGTTCGGTTACACATGTTAACTTATAACTTATTACAATTTTTCACATTTTTACTCCTTGATTTTAAAAAAAACGTATATTGACACTACATAGTACTTAATACATACACATACAACTTTTGCATATTTTTATATTAGTTTAAAGTTCCAACACACACAAAATATGTAATTAATCATACTATAAATTTAAGCACATATCAATTAACAATAGTCTTAAACACCATCAAAGTTTCAAAGATAAATCTTTACTAAACATAAAATAAACATGATAACTCAAAGTCTTTAATAACTCCAACATAAGGTAAATGAAACTTCTATGTTACCGCAAGCCAGAAAAAATTAACTCTAATATCAAATCACCAATACCCAAAGTCTTTATTGGTTTCCTCCGAAATGGAATTTGTCTCATTAATCTTGAAGCTGATTTTTTAATATGTTTTATTATTTTTCTTGTCAACTAAAATATAAAATATATATTTCTAAATTTAAATAAATAATTAAAAATAAAACATCGATAATAATAAAGTAGTTTGAAATCTTGAACTTACCTTTTCGTAGCAGTTGTAACTTGATTTGTAGCACTTGTAATCAATTTACAGTAGTCGTGACTCAATTTATAAGAGTTGTAATTCAATTTGCACCTGTCAATTTGCAAGTTGAATTTGTCTATATAAATAATTAGGATAATAGGTTCTTATATATATATATATATAAAAGAATGAGTCTCCTAAATTAATTTGAAATATAATTATTTTAAAGAAAATATAGTTAATTATAAAATCAACCTTCAATTTTTACTATGATTTTTAGAGCAATCTTTAAAATTTATATTTATGATTTAATAACGATTAACTATCAGTTAATCATTTTATCAAAATCTATAACCATACCTGTAACCATTAATCTTTATTTTTAACAATTTAATTAACCGAAACTGGTTAATCTTAACGGTTCGATTAACATGCAAAATGTGACAGTTATACAGATTAACAGTTACGATTAACAATTACAGGTTCTTTTGCACACCCCTAATACCAATGACACTCACAACATAGCTCAACCCAATCCTATTAAACAACTCCAGAGGAACACGAAACAAATGGATCCAAACTGGAAGTTTATCCATTCTAAACTCCAGTGATCTAAGATTCGGTTTTCATTTACGCAAAATTAACAACTTATTTTGAATATGTTGGGGTTAGTTAGCCAAACCCATTCACTAGCCTCTAAACTGGGGAATTGAAACAAAAACAAATTCTCACCCGCAAATCAACCTCAATTTCCCCAAAGCAGATTAACCAAATGATGCATAAAACTAAGATTTGGAGGCTTACCCAAAACTTGTGCCACAATCAAATGATGCCAAAAACTAATCCTTGCATCAAAGACCTCAACCGGTGGCTTGATTGCAACCCCTCTCCATCATTAACATGGGAAGAAAAAAATTCAAAGACTGATCCTCACTTGGGAAACGAGAAAAGGAAATACGGAAGAAAAGAAGAAGAAAGAAGTCGGGAAACGAGAGACCTGCTATCGTGCACCCAGAGAAATTCTAAGCGTGCGTCTATTTTCCTTTTTTTTTTTTTTACTTTTATAAATGCAATATCATGGGTTTGTTTTTATAATAAAAAGGGAAAAAATGTCTCCTCGTTCGCTAACTGTGATTTAAAATTTTAATTTAATTTGTTAAATGATGATTAAGTTAAACTTAAATAGTAACATTCAAACAATTTGTTAATAAAATATAAATATAAATTATAAAGAGATTTAAAATTTAAATAATTAAAACGGTCGTATCAATAGTCACTAGAATAGATGATTAAAAGCTCTCAATTAACACCTCCCTTCTTTCCTAGGTTGCAAGACTCTCCTCTCCCTTAGGTTGCATGTTTAATACTCATTAAGAACATCCCTTATGGAGGAATTATTCAAAAATAATAATCGTTTTAAACGAAGACACGTGACAAAAATTAAATAAGAGATATCGAGTAAATTAACTTACATAAGTATAAATATGTATTAATATACTAAAAAAATAAAAAAAAATGACTAACGATAGAGTAAATAGAAAAAATGTTAAACAATCTCACAATACACACACCTAAACAAAATTGACATAAAATCATTTTCTAAATATTCTATAACAAAACGGATTATTTGTTAACTTTTGAGACTATTATCACTATTTAAAGATATTTTTAGTGTAATCGAAAATTAGATATATGAGAAAATACAACTCCTATACATTCACTTAAAGTTTGAAAATCAAAAGTAAATTAATATAAATCTCAAGAAATAAAAAGAAAAAATTGTTGATATTTATGTTAAGAGTAAAGGAAAAAAATTAAAGAGTTACAAAAAAATATAGAAAATAGATGAAGAAATGAAGAGGTTTTGAGATATTGGGGTTAAACCAAGAAAAAAAAAACTCATACACATATAAGATTAACATTATATACAAACAAAAAAAATATACACTCGTCTGATTTGTTGTTGTTGTCGAAAGAGAGGTGCCACTGCTATTACTAGTGCTGATGAGGACGAGGTATTAAGAAGAAAGACTTTTGAGTTGAAGTAAAACGAAGGAAGTATTTTCATCAAAAATAAACTCGTATATACTCTGCTCAAAATTTATAAAAATACATTGATTAAGAAAATCAATTCTGTTGATTAACTTATTTTCCTTAACCCAAATATTAAAAAAAATACACAAAACAAATATAACCTTGCCCAATAAACCAGAGAGAATTGGGGTTTAGGAACCTTGAAAAGCAGAATAAAGAGTTTATGATGAAAGTTGCTTTCAATTTACTGGTGAAGAAGGACCAATTATGGGTTCAATTGTTAAGGGCCAAATATAAATGGGTGGAGGAAGTCCCTGCTGGGATTCGGAGCACCAGCTGCTCTAAATTATGGAAGGGATTAACGCGTGTTTGGGAGGTTGTATGTCAACATATAAACTGGTGCATTAGAAATGGTAGAGCGGTCGACTTTTGGTTTGATGATTGTGGCGCTCTAACAACTATGTTACGAATGCCGGGGCAATTGGTATGGAACGATGTACAGTTGCGGATATGGCCAAGGAGATGGGGAACTTGCGATGACAACGAATTGATCTAACAGTACGAATACAGCTGCTAAGAAAGGTCCGCTGCAGCAGTTTAGGGTTGTAATCTACGGGTTGATCGACGCTTCTCTGTTAAATCAGAATATGATCTTCGAGCCGATTAACCGAGAGAGGAGATATGGAAAGTGATCAGTAAGTATCGAAGCTTTCAAAAAAATTAAGATGTTCCTGTGGTTAATCTGCTGCGATCACGTGATGACGAATGTAGAACCCATGAAGCGTCATTTCATGATCGATAGTAGTCGCCCAATATGCTTCGCACCAGTAGAGGATGTAAATCACTTGCTGCGAGTATGACCATCAGCAAAAAGAAATGTACAGATGAGATCAATTAGTAGTGAAACGATCTGGAAGCGGCCTCTTCTTGGATGGTTAAAAGTGAACTCCGAGCCATTGAGAATCTGAAATTTATTCGTGTGGAGGTGTAATTGGGTGGTGCGGATTCAACATGTCTCTCGCAGTAGAAATAAAGCGGCGGACTGTTATGACAAAGTTAGCAGATAGAAGAAACCATGACTGCGTCAAGTTTTCTGTACCTCCTCGGATTTTGCACTCGGTGCTACACGAAGACCAACTTAGTAGGGATACAATCCAAATGCATAAAAATGGAGGAAGTAACCAGAAAAAAGCTTGCATTGAAACCACGAAGGCAATGGCTTACGAGGAGAAATAGAACATGATAATGTTGAAACACAATAAAGATCTATTGTGCAAGCAAATTGTCGTCAAACACATTTCCT